TCTCTCTCTCTCTCAGTGTCTGATACAGTCGATGATGAACTGACGTCGTCGACGACGACGACGACCAAATTGATTCGTCCGCGACACGAATCACTTAGCTAGATATACCCGTGCGGGGAAAGATGCGACTGTTCGGTGCTAAGGTGTAGATGTACTTCGGCGCGAAGGGTCTCGCGCGACTACCAGACGCGTATACGCGCAAGTTTTATGACGGAGTAATGTAAAACGCGCTTACACTTACAACACGCCCGGCTGTAAAATCAGCCTATATGTAAATGGAAGCGTTTATAAGGAGCGACGTGCGTCGCGCCGGAATAATTTACGTGTCCTCCCGCGGACTTACGAGACGCTTAAAGTGTCAGACACGTTCAGGACGCGAGCCTTCCATCCTTTTCCTTGCCGCCTCGGAATCTTAATTCCGGTAAAACGTCTCGTATCGGCGATCGTAAAACCGATACGGCACTTCCGCCGTAGGGATGAAGCCGGAACGCTCGAGCGGCCAAGAGAGAAAGAGGAGAGAGTGAGATTGAGAGAGAGAGAGAGAGAGAGAGAGAGAGACAGAGAGAGAGAGAGAGAGAGAGAGAGAGAGAGAGAGAGAGAAATCGGGAACAAGAATCGGAGAACTCCACACGACGAAGTCTCGCGCGCGATTGGTCCGTCAGGAATCGAGTGTGCCGCGAATTTATGCTGATTCCGCTGAGCGAACTTTCGGGTAATCAAACTTAATTGACTACCGCCGCCCCGGCTATACGAACTCGCACGCGAAGTCGATAAAGTTCAAACGGAAAAATGAGTTCGGGCGGGCCCGCGCTTTCCTCGTTTCATTATTTCGGTTTTTACGAATCTCAGCGGTATGAGAGAGCTGTTTGCGCCGTTGAGGCTGTAATTTATACGCCCGAGGTTCGACTTTTCGGCTAATAACAGGAGGCTTTTTGACCCGGGTGCCCGGCTGCGGAACGCGCGGAGCAGAAGGAGGAACACGAGGGAGTACATTACGTTACGGAGGAATTTTAATTTGAAGGCGAGCGTCGAGAGCGCGTGATTCAATTTTTCGACTGTGCGCGGAAGATCCGCCGTTGTAGATTGAGCGGCCGCGAAAGATTATGTCCGATCGCACTTGCCGCACTTGCTTGTTCGAGCTCTCGTTCGAACGACTCCTGAGATTTGTACAGGGAGATGGAATATCCAAGACGACTGTATCTCCCTCGCTCGAACGTTGGGCGTGCAATTTCGACGTTGCGGCGGTGATCTTTGAATCTTTTTCGAACGTGGCAGTCTGCGACGACACAGCTCTCACAAACGCGCGTCTCTCTAAACAGCCGCTAATCCGACTGCTGCATCCAAACTCGGCTCCTTAAGTCCGCGACACGCGTGACACTTTCCTAAGCTGCCATGACACCGGCTCTAATCCTTCGAAACGAGCAGAAACTAACTGTAACTAGCTTCACAATCCCGTTTCTTTCTCGACGCAGACGCTGATTTCACTTGGCATTCGCCAAGTCCGTCCCGACACAATGTCTAAGCCCAGCTCCTGGCAAATTTCCCGCATAGAAACGGCTCGCGCCTGATTTCCTGATTCGTCGAAAATGACCCGCGCGTCGGAAGAATGGACCAGCGGACTGAAATTGCGTCGCCTCCCTCCTCCTCCTCTCCTTGCGCTTCACTTTTCTCCCCCTCAACCGCGACGCAGAAGAGGTCGGAACTTTCGCCAAGCTCGTTTCGCTAATTCGCTAACTGTCTCACGACGCGACCAGTCTTGCATGTTCTCCAGCAAGTGGCGCGATTATAAGTTTAAGGTAGCCGACAAACGTTGTCGTCCTCCTCGTCGTCGTCGTCGTCGTCGTCGTCGTCGTCGTCGTCGTCGTCGTCGTCGTCGTCGGTGGCGGCGGCGACGGCGGCGACGGCGGCGGCGAGCTCCACTCCTCGTAAAATTATCCGCAATAAAATCGTGATTTACGTCCGTGTTCCTGGAAAGCGGACCGCTCAAACGCTCCACTCCGCTTCGCTCCTCGCTCGCCTCGTCCTCGCACTTCGCGGGGACGGACGCCGAGGTCGAAGACGACGGTGAACGACGGCGTCGTCGTTGTCGTCTCTCGGCTGTGGTCGCACTCTGACCTTTCCCGACGTTTTATATCATCCTGGCGAATTCCGCCGCAGGAGGAGATAATCGGGGCACGAGCCATGCCGTATACACCGTAAACACACCGTAAACACACCGTTGTGTCGTTAATTGCGGCGCTCTATGAGCGCATCGGGACGCTCCTTCCATCTCTTTCTCGTCTCTTGGGTGAGTGCGACATTTTTTGTCGCTTTTCCAACGATTCGCGAGCTTTATGGCGACATTTGCAAATATCCGCGTATCGTTGAATAAGCGTATCGTTGAATAAGAGAAAAGTGGCGATTGCTTGGTAGGACGGATAAATCGTTTCCAACGATCCGCGTCCACGTTGGATTATTCTCGGCCCGGCGTCGTCGCCGGGCCGAGAAGAGATTGGGCTCTCATCAGCCAGCCGCGGCTCTGTAATTCCCAGCGTTATTTTGACCGTCAGTTTCGCTAATTGATCGTAAGCGCCGCAGATCTCTCTCGTCCGAAAAGCGAAATTCGAATTCTTCGGACGCGTCGCATGGATCGCGCGCGCTTTCTTCTTTCTCCTCTCTTCTTCCTTCGTTTGTTGTCGGGGGGATTGAAGAGAAAAGAACGCCTTTTCCTTTCCCTCTTCTTTCGCCGCGAGAGAAAGTTTAGAGTTAATCCGAAATTCCCCTCGAGCACTTTTCGAGATTATCGCTTCCGTGGAGTTTAATCGCACCGTGCTAATCTCTCGTTAATATCGAAGCCGCGCCGTCGCGCCGGCAATTCCCCGCGTGACAGCCGAGGGAAATAGAGAAGCAGATCGTAAGCAATATTTTAATAAGACAATTTTATATTGCGCTGCGTGTCACGCGCGAGAGTGAGATAGTAGCGAGGGGGAGCGGTGGAGGGGGGGGGGAGGGGAGTTTGTGTGCTAAAGTTACAGCTCTTCGAGAGACGGACAGTGACGCAGCGAGGGAGACGTTTTATGCGCGCACGTGGGACGCTTTTACAGAATTTGGAAAGGAAGGAGGATAGAAATTTCGGAAGGCTCTCTCGCCAACGGCGTTACGCGTTCCTCGTCCCTGCACCCTTTTCCCTTTCCCCTCAAAGAGCAGCGCGCGTAAACGCTCGAGGGTCGCGTATGACGTAAACGCAAAGTAGAACGCAGGACTGCCATAAGTCGTAAAAAGGATCCATAAAACAGTACCCCCGCCGCGCTCCTTGTTTCTTTCCCCCTTCGGTCTTTCTCCCCCTCTTTCTCTCTCTCTCTCTCTCTCTCTCTCTCTCTCTCTCTCTCTCTCTCTCTCTCTCCCTCCCTCTCTCTCCCTCTCTCCCCCGTTCTCCCTTTCCTCTGGTTCTCGGCAACGGGCGCCCGGCAATTTCGTTTATTTACGTCAATCTTCCGCGTGTTATGAAGTAAAACGCGCTGAAGGCAATATATGCCGCGCAATTGCCGTAACTTCGCGGAAAAGCCGCTTCTCGCTTGGCCCGCGAGCAATTATCCGCTACTTCACTTTGACAAGCCGACACCTTATCAGCCTGATACGGGCTTAACCGTCTCGGGCGATTGCTCGTGCCGAAGAACACTCTGAGATGCGCGCGTCAAAGTGATCGTCGAAATGATCGGCAAACGCGACATAACGAGAGAGAGAGAGCCTCGCGTGCGATCACGCGAGGAGGAGGAATTTAAATAAATTCCTCCTACGCTTCGGAGAATGATATAATACCGTTCGCTGTGCTTTCGATCGGATCCGATGCGATCGCGTCTGTCACGAATTCATCTCAATGACTTAATTAATCGCAGGCGGTCGCGACGGAGAATCGCCGACAGTGAACGCGGCGACGACGGATGAATGATGAATCGTGCCCGGAGACGCGCGCGAGCGCGCGGGCTATCGGTTAATGTATGAAAATAAAACGAGCGAAAGGAGTGTATCGGAGCGAATATTCCGTGGAGCAGCCGTCTAGCAGCACCGTTGCTATTACGAGCGGCTACTACGGGGTTTTACGTTACGCCGACGAGCCACGGCTGTCGGTACGCGCGCGCGCGCGCGCGGCGGGAAAAGCTGGAAAATTCAATACCGCGGAAGTTTATGTGTATCCACCATGGGCGTCGCTACTCACACACGGCTTGGGAATATTAAAAACGAGGGCTTTTTATTAAGGCGCTTTTATGACCGGAAGCGCGCGCCTTTTTGCCACTTATATACGCCGCCGGCAGAAGGACGGGCGCTCGGTTTGAAATTCTAAGAGAAGCCGCGAGAGAGATTCGCGCAAAAACACCGCATCGTGTGTGAAAGACGAAAAGCGCGAAATCTCTCTCTCTCTCTCTCTCTCTTTAAAAGCGCTCCGTCGCATCGTCGGTGGCGATGGGGAAAGATTATATGTCACTCCTCCAACGTGGAAATAGATATGATTATATAAAATTGAGAAATCGAAAATTGATGAAATATCGATGAGTAGTTGTATTCGGTATAAAAGCAGCGTTCACACGATATCTCGTCACAGCCATTTAAATTGGAAACTTTGTATCTGTGCTTCTTGTTACCAGCAGTTAATATTATCGATGGATAGTAAGAATAACGCGTCTTTTTTGTTTTTAACACTGGACTGCGTAAAAGTATACGTAAATCGGAAAGAGACCTTTGCATGAAAATGTTGTAAAATCATCGGAACGCGTCGGAACGTGTAAGAAACGCTCGTAAATCGTCGCTCGTTTACCGTCGATACCGTCGAAAAGTTACGGAATTTCCAAGAAGAATATTTTTATTGCCAAATTCGTCGTTTTGTATCGCGATTTTTGTGTGTATTTTCGCGACGTACATCGCGATTTTGATGTGTGGCAACAGAAACCAGCCATGATATACATTCCCCGATGGATACGAGGCGCGAGGGATGAGAAAATGGGTCAGAAGATGAGGCATCGATCATTGAAATATACCAAAGATTTATTTACATAAAAACATGAATATAATACCTATAATATTTCAACTGCTGCGCATTTCTTTGTTCGCACGATACGTGTCATACCTAAACAACTGGCGTCGAGTCACGAAATAATGGTATTGTCGCAATATTTATTTTTTTTCTTTTTCTTTTATTAAACACACCTGCACAGAGCGTATCCGAAACAACCTGTAATGATCTAAAGTCTAATCGTAAGCTACATCGAATCAATTTGATAGCGATGCATACGCAGCGTTCGAGGTGTCGCGGTATCTACGTCCTCGTGAGATAACTGATCGAAGCGATGTCCTCGAGCCGATACGATTAAAGTGAATGAAAACGAAAACGCAGAGTGGAGGCCCCCTCCCCCCCCCTCGGTTCGCAACGTCGAATCCCTCTTCGTCTCCGAGACTTTACGTCTCTCCCTCCTCGCCGCGCGAGGATCTCACACACGCACACGCACGCACACACACACACATACACACACACACACACACACACACACACACACACGTGTTCGCTTCTGTCATCTATCTCATCTCTCCTTTCTCTCTCTCTCTCTCTCTCTCTCTCTATCCCTCTTTTTCTCACAAATAACGTAAATGTGTTGATATTATTGGCCGGCCGCGCGACATCACCGACAACAATTTTCCCCTCCGTAGTACCATTCGTTACAATATTTACAGAATTATACGTACAACTTAGAGTATATAATCGGAAAAAGTACGATACAATATCTCTCGGGGCCGACTCTCGCAGCTGCAACGGTTCTTGCTCATCGTCTTCGTTATAAAAGTGTTTCTCGATTCTCGAAAAATAACGCAGCACACGCTTCAAACATTTCTCTTTTGTCCTCCCCTCGTCTCGTCGTTCGTCCCGAATTCATATATGAAGAACCGCTACGATGAAAGAAAGAAATTTCCGCATGTCGAACGACTTTGTTCCGCTTTGTTGCTGACCTCGTGTCAGTCAAACACCGTTGGCCGGTTCTCTTATATGTATATATATATATATATATATGTATATAAGTCGCACGTGGATACAACAATTAAAGTATTATCGTTCTTATGCCAATAATCATTATCGTTATGATCGTGTAATTTCTATGATATCGGCCTATCCCTCCTCCGTGTCAATTGCACCAACGCACTCCGTGATGAGAGCTTCGATCAAGTGAAAAATCATCCTTTTATCCCGAACGAACGATCCCCGATTGACTCGTCCATCCTACGAAAATTAAGCGACGGGCTGCACGCGGACATCGAATACTAAGCTACCTACTCAGAATGCCTGGAGCGTTCAGTTTGACCAAAGTATCTTAAAGAGTACGAAAGGAGTTTTCATCCCCTCGACACGCCAGCAGGCCAGCAGGCCGGCACGCCCCGGCGAGTCCTGTATCAGTCCTCGTTAGCTCGTCGCTCGCAAGTCGGCGACCTGAGCGTTACGCAAACTCAGAAAGTATAAAATCATTCAGATCAAAATTAAATCGCAAATCTCGAGGACGCAATTGGAGAGAGGTAGAGAGAAAATTCTTGCCGGTAGAAGCGCAATCACACCGGATCTCGGATAAAGAAGGACGAAAAAGGAAAATCAAACGAGAGTAAAGAGATTACAGTCCAGTCCACCAATCGAGAGGTGAGGGAAGGAAAAGTTCGTGAAATTTAGCCAACTCGAGCAATCTGTCGAACGCTTCGGTGAGAGCGATCGGAAGGGTGAAACCTCGCGTTCCGAGCGTGACGAGGACTGTTCAGGTGGTCGCGCGGTGCGAATGTTGAGTAGAAATTCGTGAATATGAAAAGGTCATCATCAATATAGTTCAGGCTTAAGTCTTTGTAAAGTCGATATATTAGTCTCAAAAATGCATTTTTATATTATTGGTTCAGTTTGATTAAACCGCGCGTAAAGGCGGCAGATATAATAAAATCGACACATCGACAGTTCCACTTTAAGTTAGTTCTTTAGCTATTATTATTAAATAATTCGATTGTGTTACAGCATACGCAGATTCGTGCTCGCGCTCTCGGGGCACGCTCGAGGGTGCCGTGGGTCCGGTCGGTGCGAACGTGGGAGCGGGCGAACATGCGAGTGTGTTGGAAAAATTTTCGCGCACAGGCACGGCGTGAAAATCGACGAAAAGAACCGCATGCGATTTCGCGCGAGTCGCCATTTTTTTCTTTTTTTCTTTCTTTTTTTTCTTTTTTTTTTTTAATATAAAAACTCGGAAAATCAGCCTCGCACACGGGCAGACAGACAGGCAGACACACACGGGGTTGCACCTTTTAGAAAATCGGACAATTTCTCGCGCGCAGGCACGACGTGAATCCTTTTAGAAAATTGCAAAAGTCGTTGGAGCTTCTTATCGGGGGGAGTGATCGGGGAAAGCGCAGCGGAAACTGACGATCGGAAATTCGGTTCGTCGGTTCGGCTGGTCGATTGACCGCGGTTCTCCGTCGGGAACCGCTTCCTCGGTCGGGGTTCCTCGAGAGAGATCTTGCGCTCTCCCATTTTTCATATTTATCCGCGCGTACACGTACACGTTAATCAACTACGACTGTGACGAAGTATCTCTGCGTATCAAAATTCGATCGTACAAAATACTTTCTACGGGTTGGACCGTCGCACCGACACGGGGCGTGCTCTCGAGCGACCTCCGATATATTTTTACATACAAAAATCCGACGATACAGATGCTCCGTAAATTCCGAAGAGTTTGTTAACTTTCACATGTAGCTCATGCAAACGTGATACAAATCGAGATACAAAACTACGTCAGCTACGTAACCTTGGGCAAGGCGTCCGCACTCGTTGCTGAAGATTCCATTCGGTGATCACAAAACGGGAAGCTACGCACTACTACGATTCTTCGACGTTGGCTAAGCGCCGCGACGCGCGATCCTTCCCGCGATCGCGCGGCGTGAAGAAACGAAGCGATCATGGCGCGTCTCTGTTTCTTTCTAATTCTAGCGCGATCGGATACTCGAAATAAGAAGAGAGAGAGAGAGAGAGAGAAAGAGAGAGAGAGAGAGAGAGAGAGAGAGAGAGAGAGAGAGAGAGAGAGAGAGAGAGAGAGAGCAGTCGCGATTCGCCAAGGCAAAAAGGACTCGGGCTAAGCGAATGCAGACCATCGAGATACGTTTTCTCGCTCTGAAATTTTCTTGTATATTCCAAGTATCCAAAGTATTTGTTCGTTACCTACACACATCTTCATCCACGAATCTCCGATCGACTTATTCGTCGGAGATTCGCTGAATTTTGATATTCCTCTAGTTTCGTCCGCCTCTCGTTCCGAACGTTCTCTCTCGACGCGTCACGACGTCGTAGTCGTCTTCGTGGTCGTCGATTCGTTCTCGACTTTGTCGTCGCGGAACGGAGAGGAAACGAAAATGGCGTGCACGAGATATCCCGTGTTCTCGTGACGAGGTGTGTCGTCTCACGCCTTCGCGTCTCGCATTGGCGACGAGCGAGAAAAGTCGTCGTCGTCGTCGTTTTACCGTCTTTATATGGGTACGCCTGGTAAAAAAGAAAGGTCATACCCGACGACTCCGTTGTCTCGCCCCATTGTCTTATCCGCGTTTCAGTGTTGCGTTTGGATTGTATGATACAACTACACATACAGCATCGAGTCGATATAGTATAGTGTATATAATATAAACGCGCGTATATACTCAGTTTATATACATATATGCACCTATCCACATGAATGTGATTGCGAGAGACGATAGTTGCATAGAAGGTATTTCAATCGAGTTGGCTTCTTCATGTCTTGCTCTTCGTTGTGTCGTTGGGAACAAAACACCTTCCTTCGCTAGAGTTTGGCCTTTGCGTCCGCTTGAAAACTGAGATCAATTCCGCTTCGCGGCGACTTTCTCGGCGTTTCTTCGTTGTTATAGTCTTTTGCTTTTCGGGAACACACTCTCGAAATGATTATTTGAGAGAGAGAGAGAGAGAGAGAGAGAGAGAGAGAGAGAGAGAGAGAGAGAGACAGAGAGACAGAGAGAGAGAGAGCAAGTGAGAGATGACACGTGTCGTTTTGCGTTCGTTTTTCTCGCCCAGCATCTCGAAACAATCTCAAGTTGGAAAATGTAATGTGTGTATATTCTTCTAAAATCGAGTGCGATACCTAGTTATTTTTGGAGGTGTGATCGTTTTTTAAATTCGTAACCAAACAAATATCGGAACTTGAAAATATTTGTACAAAGTCCTTTCCGAGCAAGCTGTCTTCTTCGTTTCGCCATTCTTCATCGTACCCGAGGAGACTCGAGAAATTCGCGGACGAGGCAAATGAAACGAGGCTATCAATCTTCGTACATATAGAAATCTCGTTTGAAATCGCGATTCGTATATTCCGACTTTTCGTCGTCCCTCTAAAAGATCAATCTTGTGCGTTACGTTGTTCGTTCGTGTGTTGTTCTTCATCGTCTTCGCGCGATCCTCCAGGATGGGGGGAACGTGGGCACGGCGCTTAAGACTTATATCACATCCTTGGTCTGTGCGGCAGTGTTTTCCTGTATATCGATCGATTTCTCTGTTGCGACTCTTTGACTTCAGACTTCTCGATGAAGATGATTCTCGCTTGTTGCTCGGCTTCCAATTCGCGTTTGGCCCCGAAGCATACTCGCGTTTCTCCAAGAGACACTCCGACAAGGACGGCTCATCGACGTTCATCCTTGGTATACTTGTAATCTGTCGCAACTTCCTCTTCCAAGTCTTGATGATCTTATTAATAGCCGATAACACACACGATGGCAATATTCTCTTTCGACTTTGACATTCATATAGATACTCAGATATACATACACTCTTCTCTGAAACTGAGACTGAAACTGAAACTGAAAAGAAATCCATCCAAGACCGAGAATGGAGAAGCATCGTTGACAATATCTCCGATATTCGAGCGAGATTCGCACTCGTTCCCGTCGGGCTCCCGCGATTAGACCGATCCGCACAGAGCCCGGCAATGAATCGCGCGCGACAAAACCGTACAACCTTTTTCCCTCACCGGTGAGAAACCCGGTTCTCCCTTCTCCTCCACTGACGGTCCTGCGGACTGCGAGGCGAAGCCGACGAACACACGGACGAGCTCGGCGCATTTCGGCCGACATTTCCGATATCCCGGAACGATGACGACGAGATGCCGTGCGGTCGCGACAAGGCCTCGGTCCCCCGCCTCAGTCCTTCCACCAGCCGCAGAGACAGCAATACCATCGCCTCTCGGGATGGGGCTGGATTATCTGCTATTGTCAGTGCATCGCCCTGGTGGTGGTCAGATGCGTGGTCTCGGCCCTTTTCGGCGGCGGCGGCGGCGGTCTTCTCTTGCCCGCGATGGCGTTGACGATGTTCATGCTGCGGTTCTCGTCGGCGAACCTCACGGTCGGCTGCCGTGCCGGGCTGGACGCGTACTCCACTGGCCCGTGCGTATCCGTCGCGTACACGTTCTCGTAGAGATTGTCCGCGCCGTAATGCTCTTGCACCCAGTTGGACACGTTGGTCTCCCTGTAGTCGGCCACTGCGGGCGGCGGGTCTCGGAAACCGAGCACCTCGTGCGGTGTCGTGGTGGAGTCGAGTTTGCATTTCTGTGCGACTTGCCACTTCTTTCTCATCACCCTCTGTAGATCCTTGAGGAAATCGCCTGGCGGAGCCTGGTCGGACGCCGTCAGTTTCTTAGGCGAAGTGAGCCTAGTGCTGTCGGACCTTCGCGGTGGCGTCGGCTTGCGCTGCGGCAAAGCCGGGCTGCCGGGTTCTTGTTGAGGCGGTAGATTGAAGGAGATTTTCTTACCGGTGCCGGTTTTCGATTTGGGCGATGTCGGGGGTTCTTGAATGGTCACTCGGCGTTGCGGCTGTGGACTCGAAGCGGCTTTCAGCTCGGCTAGATACGGCGGTGCCGCGTAATGACCGGTTCCTTGCTTCATGGCGCTGCGCCGGACAGTGTCCATGTTGGGATTCGGTCTAATCGGTTGGATCGTGTTGTGGTGAGTCGACTGATGGTTCGCGCACAACTGCTCGGTCTTGGAGTTTTGTCTTCCAAGGCTCTGCGAATTGGTGGTATGTTGTTGAGGTTGTTGCGCTTGCTGCGGCTGCGGCTGCGGCTGCGGCTGTGACTGCGACTGCGACTGCGACTGCGACTGCGACTGTTGCTGCGGCTGCTGCTGCGAGCCGTAAGCCGGCGGTGGCACGAAGGGTGGCGGCGACGCGAAGTTCGGCGAGCTCGGGGTGTAAGTCGGCGTGCTCGCTGTCGATCCCGGGTAGGAACTGTGCGGGGAGGACACGGAGGAGTTGGCGGCGTTGTTTGCGACATGGGCGTTCGATGACGCGTTCGAGTTGTAGTTTTGGCTGTTTTGGATCGAGTTGCTGTTCAGCGCGAGACTGTTTGCGTTCGCGTATATTTGACCGGACTGCGACCTGGGGGTGTGCGTGGGGGTGCTCTCGGGGGTCACAGAGTTCGTGGGAGTGGACTGTTTGGGCCTGGCGCGGCGTATCGTTCCAGTCTCGCCTACTAACGGGCTCGGTGGTGGCGGCAACGACGCGAGGCTCAACGACGAGCCTGTGAGCTCCGGTGTGTTGCAAACCGGAAGCTCGCCGGGTGCGGGTGGCGGCGGCAACGAGTCCAACGACAGATTGGACCGGAACATCTCAGGGGGTGGTGGTGGAAGGGGCTCGCTGTCGGACTCGACTTCCTCGGCGACTCTCGACGGCGACGGTGGCGGCGGCGGCAATGACGTGATCGAATCCATCTGTGAGGCGTGAACGGTTATTTATTTATTCATGAGACACCTCGTATCTCTCGTAGTCTCTTTAAATTTCCATAGACTTTGAATGTCAGGCAAGGAAGATTGATTCGGGCATTTTCGTCCTTGAGATTGAGAGGAATTGTTAGGGATTGTTAAGGATCTATAATTTGTTGGTCAATGTGACAATATTGTACGCGCACGCGCAGTATACGTACCATACACGTCTGTATCGGGCTGGTTGGAGTTTTAGGCTCCTGACTGTCCGGCCTGCTGTAACCCATGGGGCTTGCCCTTTCCCTTACCGGTGTGCCGGGCGGCACCGGGCTGACGGGCGTCGCGTTTCCCGATCTGTGATGTCTCTTTAGAGTCCCAGACCCGTCGGAATCCGTGCCGCTGCGACGGCGGCTGTGTCTTCTGGTTAGCGTGCCGGATCCCGAGCTCGTCGGACTCGGACAAGAATCCGGCTCGTCGCGAACGGTCTCGCCAACCTCCTTCAATTGCCTCGTGATTGAGGTGAGGGGCAATTTCGGATTCATAGACGGCTTCCGTTTGATCGTGCCCGTTGGGAATTCCCCGCATTCGAAGGCCACCTGCTCAGGTATATTTTTGGTTACATATTGTAACCGCGTGTGTGTGTGTGTGTGTGTGTGTGTGTGTGTGTGTGTGTGTGTGTGTGTGTGTGTGTGGAAACACAACTGAAAGATTCTCGAGTGGAGAAAGTTGGGCAGAAGATTTATTTCAAGCTCAATGTGTGACGATACATGACGATGATGCAACAAACCGTGCAAAAAAGGTTTACGAATTTTCACCATCACGTTTGTACTTGAACGCGAGTTTATCTTATATTCACCTCGCAACTACTCGGTGCCCCGTCAGACAAGCATCCGCTGGAGCTGGAACTGCTCGCCCTGCTGAGTCTACCGTCGTTGTTGTAGCTCTGCCGTTGCTCCGGATTGTAGCTCTGCCTCTGACCATCGTACTGCCTCGTCGTGGCGACGCCCGTCTCGTTGTTGTGCCGCGAATTCTCCGCGTATTGCCTCGCGTTGTCGTTCGTCGTGTTGTACTGGGTCTGATTCGGCGGCACGGCGATCGAGCTGACCGAGCACGATCTGGCGTGCGCCAGCAAGTCCAGGTCTTCTTGTGCGAGTTCGTCCACGAGGGCGCGATAGTTGTCCATGAGTTGTCTGCCGTATTTGGCCACGCGAATACCGACCATCCATCGCTCCAAGGACGCGTTGTCCTCCGCACAGAGGAACTTGATGTACTTGGTGGACTTGGGCTGCTGCAGCCGGGGGTGCTTCACGGCGAAGCAGAAGTCGGTGGGCGCCTTGTACTTTTTCCGCCAGCCGACGCCGTAGTAAACCTGATTTCATGGCGCCGGTAATGACAATATTCTCGACGGAAGCTCGAGAAAAGGACAAGTGAAGATTGGCACGGACGGAGGGCACTTTTACAAAGCGCAATTAGGGAACTGCGCACGTACAATCAAGTAATCACGAAGCGCGAAGAATAATAATAGGAAACGATGCAGCAGCTGCGAGATCGCAGTAACAGCAAGAAAGTGCTGCCAAAGTAAGAATAATTCCCTCGCATCAAGGCCCTCGTGAGGCAGCGAATGAAACACACACACAGTCGATCGCCGGATATCGGATAGCCGGAGGAAGGGCGGGCGAATGAATGAACGACAAACCTGATTAACGTCGAAGGTCGCCAGACAGACGAGATCCCGGGCGGTGCGCGCCTTCTCTTTCGGCCAATAGTAAAGACCGGAGGCTCGTAAGATGAAGTGGTACCTCTTCCAGCCTTTCTTGCTGTCCGACTTCAAGTAGAGCGGACCTTCGACCTGTGTGGAAGCGAATCTCGGTAGCGACGGTAATCGATGCAGAAGAGCGCGGGCGGGCGGCGGGACGCGTGCGTGCCCGCGCACCGAGTTGTTATCGGGAGAGACGACGCGACGACGTCGCGCGCTTGCCAAGGTGCCCGGTTGCCAAGGCGCGCGACGCCGGGATCGTAAACATGCCATTAGGTCCCTCACCTCGGGCACACCGACGTTGCTGCTCGAGAAGAATTCCTCCAACAGCATGTTCCTCGAGTGGTAGTCGTACTCGCCGCCGCTGCCGCCGCCGCCGCCGCCGCCGCCGCCGCCGCCGCCGCCGCCGCGATCCGTGGGGCCCAGGAGGAATCGCTCGGGTGTGAGGAACAACTGAGTCTTGTCCGGCCTCTCGACGAACAGTAGCTTGTTCTTCGAGTCCCTGGTCCACAGTAGGAGATTCTCCACCAGCAGCTCGTGATCCTCGTAGACCCGCTCTGAAAGATTCGCGCAATGAGCTCGCTCAATTGTCGGGCCACCTTTACGATCTTTACGATCTGACGACAGAAGCATTTTCTGGGGGTTTGTCTTTTCATTCGATGTGATTGATGATCGGGAAGGAACGGGCAACGTTATGGATAATAAACGTGACGGACGAAGAAACGCAATTCTTTCAAAACTTGCTCGTGGGGGGACAGAAAGGCTCCTTTGTACGGAATTTTGTTCTCGGTTATCTCGATCGAATCTTCTGAACGCGTTCGAGCCGAACGCGTTCAGAATATTTTCACTCGCGATAACAGAGATATCGTTTCTTCGCATCAAGTTTCGTCTGAACCCAATTCCATGCCACAAACTTAAGTCCCTTTCCCGTGTAAGTGTTGACAGAGGGAGAAGAAAATATTACACGGGAAAAAAATCTTCCTTTTGTGTAACCGTTTTCTCTTATCTGGAAATGAGGATTGCTGCTCCTACTCGATCGTAGGAGGGGAAAAATGAAGGTTTCTCCTCGTCCTATTGTTTCCGTTTATCTCAGTCGAGTTTCAACCGAGCTGCAGCCGATTATCCCAACACTTTTGACCGTGTTAACAGAGATATCGCTTCTGAGTCGTGAGTTTTGTCCGGTCCCCTTACTCGAGATTCTCCTTTCGCGCGAACAACTAAATCGTCTGTCACTCGTACACGTACACGTACACGTACACGTGAAAAGATCCTCTTACTCGGGCCCAACTCCACGACATGGAGAATATTTGACGCATCATTTGAAGGTTTGAAAAAAATGTCAAAAGGGAGAGGAGGAGAGAGAGGGGGGATTGTCGTCGCGAAATATCCCTCGTATCTCGCGAGTATCGTCCATTGTAAAACAGTTGTCGCGCCACCGGTTGAGCGATTAGCGTTCGGCAAACAGGAGATAATAAACGTTCGACGAATAGACAAATAGACTCACCCATGAAGAGATCGGGCAAGTGCTCGACCACGGCCCACTTGGGATCCATTGGCACGTGGTTTTTGTCCGCGAGCAGCCTCGACACGTGCGCGACGCTCATCCCCTCGTCGACCAGCAGGCTCTTGCCGCTGCCGTCTAACGTGAACGCTTTGATGAAGAGCTTCTGTACGCTCGCCTCGCGCATCTTCTCCAGCGCCAGGCGAATCTTTTCCGCCTTGGCTCTGCTCGCCGCGTCTGCCGAGATCAAGACAAACATACACGTTCCGCCCGCGTAAATAAATTCCGGAAGGGAAAAATTATCATTTTCTTCTCCTCAGAGAGAGAGAGAGAGAGAGAGAGAGAGAGAGAGAGGGACAATTCAATCGCGAGAGTCTCGAATGCGCAAAACGACGCCGCGCAAAGAGACGAAGAGAAAAAGAAAAGTTCAAGTTACCTCTCGGTCACTTGAATTCACTTTGTGCGTTCGTTCGTAATCTAAAACTATCGAGATTCTGTCCCCTTGCAAAATAAACACTCACCGACAAGCTGATGAGGCTGCTGTTGAGGGGCAGTGTGCATGGCGGTCTGAGGTGGTTTGTGACCCGAGCCGCTGCTGCTCGCCGAGCTCTCGCTGGACAGCATAGACACCGTGTCTGAGAACGCGCTGTCGTTATCAGGACTGTCGGTGCGCAAAGCTGAAAAATAAAAATGGGTGAAATAATAATAAGATAAAGCACCCGGACTGCGCACCGTTATGGTGTTCTACCGCTGGTAACACACCGCAAAATAACACACGGGGAAGCAATGATTCGCGTTCGCGCGAGATCGTACCTCCTTCATTCTTGATGTCGGTATTGTCACCCGGATTGATTCTCGCGCTGGTGGGTCGTCCTGGCCTCTGCGAATCTGTCGCGGCGGGCGTGGCGGCGATGTCGCCGTCGCAACGCCGCTCCAGGGCACACAGCTCACCGAGGATCGCGTCCAGGTCGACATCTTGAGAATCTGCGAAGAGAAAAGCCACACACATCTTGTTTCCATCACTTGTTTCATTTCTCAAGTCTCGCAAGTGCGAACAATAGCATACTACTACGCGCCTGTACGAATTCTTAATTTTGACAAGTGCGATCGAACGCGACTGCGAAATCTTCGATCGTCGGCTATTATTTATTAGTGCGCTACACGTTTAGCGCACTCATTTCGCTTGCGAAATCGCGCGAAATATTAAACCCGCGATACTTGCAAATCGATTCGACACAGAGACATGCCCTGTTTAATTCCGCACGTCTTTTGTTATCTTTGGTTGTATTATCGCATATAGCATTAAGTCCGCGCGTTATCTGTTTACGGACCGATCGAAGACTCTGGTCTCGCCAACTATTTCCCAGAAAACGATGAACGAGAGCGAACTTTGGCCGCACTCTCTCGGGCGCACTCGCCTCGTGCGATGAGATAGTTATCGCGCGGCTCGCTATTTATCCCCGCAGTAGTACGCGATGTAACACGCACATGCGAAGTTCGTCGCGACAATTAATGGAATTAACAGCTGGCGACTCGACGGAGGATTTCGCACGCGAATACTCCGCAACGTGTTCCGAGCGCGTCGCTCGGAAAAATTTCACAAACGTTAACAATCGCGAGGTCGCTACTGCACCTTGACCTCCACATGCAAACTTTTCGAATCGTCCGATGGGACTCGACCTTCTCAGATTATTCGAGACACGAGCGAGGGTGACGAAGCGATCTTGATGAGAATAACGATATGAATTCGCGTGAGGGCGTGACATTCCGGTCGAGTTCGTAAAGAGAAAGAGCGAGTGTTTGAGGCGCCCGTCTGTGTGTGTGTGTGTGTGTGTGTGTGTGTGTGTGTGTGCGCGCGTGGGCATATCATCGACGACGCCGCTCTGTCTTCAGTTCGCCAGCGAATGAGCGCCCGCTACTAAAAAGCACGGCGCGGACGCGACTAATTAATCGCGTGCGAATTAGTGTCAAGACTGTTTTCATGAACGACTTACCGGCCGGGATCGTAAACCGGCTAGGTCGAAGAAGCTGTCGGCACTTGGGCCTCATCAAGGCGCGATTACTGCAGAGCGCGTCGGAATTTTCGACCCAATTTTCAAGCGACTTTTTATTAGCCGGCATAACGACGGAGGTTTACGCGGGTAAATTTTACGGTACGGAGCACTCTGAAGTTTGCGCTATCGTCGAGAGAGGTGAAAGCACCGCTGCGCGAGGTCGGTGAGAGGTTTCATTAGCGAAGTATAATAACGTCAGAATCAACATTCTCTTCAAATATCAGAACATTTGAAAAACAGATCGTATTTTCGGAAATTAAATCATCTTGCGCCATCATGATGCTTCGCTTCGCCCGTCCCGCGACCTTTGATGGCAAGAACATCGAAGAGAACGAGAATAAATTAAAGCTTATCACACTCTTTCTCTCTCTCTCTCTCTCTCTGTTTCTGGACAGTATTTCGCTGCACCAAAGTCCACGGAACCAACGTGCGCTCGCGCGTATCGCGTCGAGTGTTGCTCGCGGTTTTCTGCAAACTTTGGCGAGAACGTGGCGGCAGACACAACGTCCCGCGTGTATGCAACTCGGACGAATGACGTGCGTCCCGTGGAATGTGAGCGATATCGCGCCGCGAATCGTCACGAGCGCGCGCGCGCGCGCGACGTTAACCGCGCGAGAAACCGCCGACGCCGACGACATCGCGAATGCGAAAGAGAAGCCGAAGAAGAACCCTCGTGAAACGTGGTTATCACCGCGAACTGGGATTGCGCATCCGTCCGGCTTTGAATTTCTCACGTTGCCGCCGCGGTGTCCGTTCGCGACGGAACCGCCGAAGAAGCTCGAAATTTATTGCGCAGCGCATTTCGCGCAGCCGATATGTCTATATTGAACGTAAAATTTCATTCCGTTTAATTCAATTTTATATCCGATTTCATCCAATCGTTTCATTTTATATTGGACAATTTACTGAAAAAGAAGGAGAGATTTTCTCTCTTTTCCCTTAATTTTGACCGCGCCTGCGTTAAAAATGATGCGCGCGCGCTTCGTAAAAGCACTGCGCCCGAGATAATATTCAGCAAACTGGACGTTGCACCTGCACGTGTAAACGAAATTGATGCATGTAGGTCGTAAGGTTGTCCGAGTCGTGTCATAACCAACGTCAAGTTGCGCAGTTTCCAAGTAATAATAAGATTGCGGGCGATATAGATAAATGCGGTCTTCCGCATCCCGCGGGGGAGAAGAATCGATAGCCGCCGCTCTCTCGCGCGCGCGCTCTCTTTCTCGTTGGTACGCTTTCTACTACGTAGAGTACGAGAGCCGCAGTGCAGCGTTTCCGAGAAGAAACGAGTTGCGGAGGCACACTGAATGAAAATGAAACCGGTGCGTGCGTCGCGCTTTCCACGAGGTGCGAACAACGCGCGCGCAGCGTGAGCCGCGTCGCGGCACCTGAGATTACCGTTACGGCAACATTACGCGCCGTGATCGCGGCTCGTAAACACCTTGACGAGGATTAAGCCCGAGCGGTCATTCGTATTCGCGGGACGCACGGGAGCACGTGAGTCACGTCTCTGCAACGACCTCGGCGGAACGAATGTGCTTTTCATTATCTGCCGACGCGTCATCGATCGCTTTCGATGATGGCTCCGATGACGCGAGGTTTACCATGAAAGAAACACGCCGAAACGGATGAGGTTTCCACCCTCTTCCACGCTAAGAGGATATGCGCGGAGCGCGAGAGAGTATTCCTCTGCGGAAGAAGGCGCCGCGTCGCAGCGGCGTAAGAAGAGGCGAAAAGTTTGTTGTTTCTCGACGAATGCGGCGATACTTTTGCGCGGAACTTTTGCTCGGTGAATATTCAAGCCTGTTCAAGCGCGCGAACAACTTAACGCGCGAGGTTGTAAATTTTTTTCACATTTTACGGTTAACGGACATAACTCGCCGGAGGTAACTCGCCGAGAGAGCGTGAAGAGCACGAAATTTTATGTCTTTGTGGCCCTCTGCTGACTGTGTTTGTCTCCAGGAAAATTTAAGTCCTGCCTTAATTGCCGGGATTTATCTCACGAGACAACCTGTCCGAGATAATCGCCTACGTTTTCAACCTGTGACTGTACCCTCGTGCACTTCGGACGAGAGCCGCGTGCACGGAAACAAGAACGAGCGCTCGTAATCCGTTTAATTTCTTCCTCAATCGGCTGCTCTTTCCATTAAATATATTTATTATCGTACCCTCCCTCGAATAACTTGTCTCTTTCTCCTCGATGAAAATTTTTTATTTATTTATTTATTTATTTATTTATTTATTTATTTATATATTCTACACACTTTATATCTTTCGTCGCGACTTGAAAATATATTTCGTATACAATATATCATATATGTACACTGCATATCAAATACATGTACGTTTAAACATATTTTTTTACATGAATCGAAAATGGTAAGTTACGCGTGGGCGCAGGGTGAAATCAATAATCAAGGGTTCGGTATCTTGCTGTCTTTTACTCGATTTCGAATAATAAAATTTCGAAGAAAAAATTGCAATTTGTCCGAGAACATATTCTCGTGATTCGTCATGGCTGTTACGAAACCGCCCCTCAGTCGTTTCTTCACGACGACGATGAGACATGGCTCTTGTCGTCTCGTAGGTTGCTCACATAACAGAGATTTGTGTGGTGGCGGTTCGCACTCACAGAAAAAAAGATACACATCTAGAGACGAATCAATCTCCCTCTACGATACGACGAGAACGAAGTCCTTTCTGCGAGGGAAAATAACAAGTATCGCGGATGAATCGGGGAAGGAAGGACACAATACTCGGCTTTTACGAACGAGTCCGCCGGTCGCGGTCGCATTATCGAAAGGGGTCGTCGTGGAAAAAGATATACACTGAGTACTCGGTAAACACGGGAATGACCGTAGGCGACATATTTAGCAGATTCACGATATCTCGAAAGTGCACTTTGTTGACAAACGCGGGGGAAAAGGAGATTGAGAGCGGGAGAGGATCGGACTCGAGTTGTCGCAGAATTCGGAAACGTTTGATCGAATACTTTTTGATTTTTTGAAAAATCTCGAAATTTTACGATCGCGAGTACGAATCGAGCGCAGCACTCGGTCGTTTCAGATGTAATGAAATCAACAATATTCCGAGACGCCACAAATAAAATACTTTGCTCCTTCCCGATCCCTCCGGGATTTCAGTTTGCGGTCAAAGCGATTCGCGTTCGACATCGGCGATAATTTCATTATCGCTATCAGAGGTGCTATATCGCTTCTTTTCTTTTCTTTGCTCGTAAAATTTTCAGAGATGCACAACGCGATCCTCGATCGCGGTATGTTTCAAACTGAAATACAAATCTCTTGCGGCGATTTTCTTCTCCTTATTATCAACGACACATGACGAAAGTTCTCGACAATGTCGGAGTGTACCTTTGACTGTGAGGTATCCCAGTATGCTCTCGTTGCTACCGAAATGCCCGAGCATCTTCGACTCTGCCGAATGACACGTCGTCCCACTCGAGCACTCGCTGCTCTCCGCACGATCGGTAATCAACATCACTCCATGAAGCTCTCATCGGAGCGATGCGACCGATGAGTCGTCACCCGGTCATCGCCGCGACCGATCACTGTGTCCTCGCGCGATCGAACGAGAGAAAAATCACGAGCGAAATATCAGTTCGGCATGTCGACAGACGCGTGGATAACGCGCGCGAGAGCTACGTCGGATTCGAAAGATCGACAGGTAACTGCGTATCGGAACTGCGTTGTTCAAACGCTCGAGTCACTCGATCGTGCTCTCGACATTATCGGATAATTTTCGAGTATCAAGCTTATCGCTCGAAAGCGACGACGGTCGACCACGTCGCGATGAGTAAGCCAGCCAGCAGCCGCAGCTCGCAGCGCGGCGGCGAGCTGCGAGCTCCGATTTTTGAACACGCCAATTTCGAGTTACCACCTCATCACGGTCAATCGATGAATGAATCTTCGCGCG